TGAATCACCGTAGTGCCATTTTGGAGAATATCCGCTGAACGCAAGCAGCGTACGCTCTTCTGTGTAAGCCGCGCTGCACGGATGTGCTGTTTTCGTTAAAATCAAAGCGTAAATACACGTAGAAAACGTATCCTTGTGTCGCGGCTGACACAGAAGAGCGTACGCTGCTTGCGTTCAGTGGTTATTCTCCAAAATGGCGCTACGGTGATGCGGAGAGACACAGAGGAGACGAATTGTTGAATAAAGTTGTTATTTTTGTTTTCTTCACGTACAAAAAGTATTCTCGTCGCTTCATAACGTTACGGTTGAACCACTGATGGCAGATGGACTATTCTGACGATGTCTTTCATACTTTTCTGGACCTTGACAGTGTAATTTACTTGGCAGTCAATGGGACAGTCACAAGCCTCCCGGTTTTCATCCAAAATATCTTAAATTGTGTTCCGAAGACGAACGAAGCTTTTACGGGTTTGGAACAACATGGGGGTAAGTGATTAATGACAAAATTTTCATTTTGGGGTGGAGTATCCCTTTAAGACATGATCTATTTGACTGGCTACGGAACACTGTTGTCCAGTGACTTGCCTAATTAACCGAATTAATCCTCTAAGCCTTTAAATTGCACTTTATGCTGAGGATTAGTATCTTGCAAAACAGCTAGTAAAATAATATGTACTGTCATCATGGCAAAGTCAAAAGAAATTAGTTTAGACTTGAGAAAAATAAGTGTTAATGCTCACAAAGGAGGAGAAGGATATACACGTTTAACCAAGCATTTTCAAGTGTCAAGAACTGTCGTGAGAATTACAGTGGCAGAGGCAAGAAGCGAAAGATTTCACAAACTAGTGAGAGAGGTGTCTAAACACCCAAGAACAACTGCAAAGGCACTAGTGAATGATTTAGCCAAGTCTGGGATTGATGTCTCAATGAAGACGGTCACTAGAGCCCTGCACTGGAATGGACTGCAAGGTTGCCGACCAAGAAAAACTCCACTTCTGAAGAAGAGACACCTCTAGGCTACACTGAAGTTTGCAGTTAAAAAAAAAAGGTATTAATTTATTTCTTTAAAAAAAAAACTTACTGACCCCAAACTTTTGAACAGTAGTGTATTATACATTAAACATGCTTATTATATTACACATGCAAGAAATCTGCAGTGCAGAACAAATTTAAACAGGTTTAATGCTGGTGAACGCACAATTTTATATTAATACGGCAAACTGTCTTGTTGCTTGTCAACCATGCGCAGCCTACAGACTAATTCAATCTGCAATAAGAACTTGACAGAAGAACCGTTCATCATTCTGATTACTATTATTAAGCTAATAAACATAACCATTAATCAAACATTTGTGTCTTTCATCACACCGCCGTGTGTGTGAGAGCAGCTTTCTTAGGGACTCGGGAACACGGAAACTAAGGCTCAAGCAAACTTACATTCCCTCTTCATGCCGATTGAGAAGCATTTCTGGAGTCGGCAGGACTGGCACTGTCTCCTGTTGGTCTTAGTGATGACACAAGTGTTCTGAAATGGGCAGCAGAGCTGTGCGGGCCGCTTCATGGCACGCCTTACAAACAAACACACAGGCATTTGCTAGAGTCAATCTCACTGACTGCAGAAAAAATAAGACACCACAAGATACGAGCACGACTGTCTACGTGTCAGATATTTACTTAATTAAACTGCATCATTTGTCTGCTGGACTATTTATTAAAGGTTTCCATTAAATTGAAACACAAATTCCCAATATGTATATTTTTTTAATCAACTCATCAATGCAACATCATGTAGGCTAGCTGTGTATAATGGATATAATATTAAAAGACAATAAATGCTCTGCTAGTTCTGTTACGTTTGAATAATTTGCTGGTCAGAAAAGCAAATACAGAAAAAATATGAAAGCAAGAGGTCATTATTGAGTCTGCAGACACACTAAACCCAACAGCATAATAAAATAGCATGAATAGAATAGAACAGAATAAAATAGATTAAATGTTAGATAACATATGTGACCCTGGACCACAAAACCAGTCATAAGGGTCAATTTTTCGAAATTGAAAAGCTGAATAAATAAGCTTTCCATTGGTGTATGGTTTGTTAGGATAGGACAATATTTGGCCGAGATACAACTATTTGAAAATCTGGAATCTGAGGGTGCAAAAAAATCTAAATATTGAGAAAATCGCCTTTAAAGTTGTCCAAATGAAGTTCTTAGAAATGCATATTACTAATCAAAAATTACGTTTTGATATATTTACAGTAGGAAATTTACAAAATATTTTCATGGAACATGATCTTTACTTAATATCCTAATGATTTTTGGCATAAAAGAAAAATCTATAATTTTGACCCATACAATGCATTTTTGGCTATTGCTACAAATATTCCCCAGCGGCTTAAGACTGGTTTTGTGCTCCAGGGTCACATATAATCAGAGGAATGCACTACAAGGGCATTTTTGGACCCCTCATTTTAAAGAGCGTTTTGGCTATTTTAGTCCACAGAATGAACATTCTTCAAAAATATCTTCTTTTATGTTCCACAGAAGAAAAAAATGTTATACAGATTTGTAAAGACATGAGGCTGAGCAAATAATGACAGGCATTTCATTTTTGGGTGGACTATCCCTTTAAAAGCATATCTGGCTATATATGACAAGAATGATCCAAAAGAACAGCATTGTCACCAATGGCTAATATTGTTTTCTGAAAAAATCCAGAAAGCATTTCTTTTGTACATTAACCAGTATAGTTCTCATGTTTTTTTTTTAAATGCTGAAAGCATCCTGGGAAACAAACAATTACTGTGTGACTGCAGTTGGACGCACACAATGTGTTGTGAAACGTGTAGGTTGGCCACAAATGCAGATATGCTACTGTATCTTGTAATTATTTTTTTTCACAGGTTGCTTTCAAAAAAATTATGCAAATCAGAACAATACAAAACTCAGTGCATCAGAAACTGTTAATACACTTTAACAAACATATCCTTGATATCTGTTGTTTTGTTCCAACATTCCTTATTACATCCTTATAAAGAATCGTTATTTTTATTAAGAGTGTACTGGGATAGTCGGGTCAACTATTAAAGAGATTACAATTCTGTCATCATTTACTCACCCTCATGTCCTTCCAAACCTGTATGACTTTGTTTCATGGAACACAATAGTATATTAATAAAGTTCAGTGAATGACTACTTAAACTTGCTAATCACATAATTCACAGACTAAAATAAAGTCATTTTAAATTTCAAATTTTCTCTCTTTTACACTTTATAAAGAGCAGCTTGGACATTCTGCTAAACATCCCAGTAGAAAGAAAGTCACACAGGTTTGGAATGGCATGAATAATCGTCAATCACAATTCCCTCACACTGTGGAGGAGGGGCATCTGGGAACGGTCTGTTCACTCACCTGAAGAAGCCTTTGCAGCCCTCACAGGTCTTGGCATTAAAGTGGTATCCTGTGGATTTGTCTCCACATACTTGACAGATTTTGGGCTCGTCATCCTCCTCTGTTTCTTCCTCAGACCCATCACCGTGTTCCGAATCGACAAGGTGAGAAAGCTCCTCCATTTCTTTACTCATCCTGAGCTGAAGTAAGCACTGCAACAAAAGATGCATGTCACTATCACTCATATCTTCTCATTACCACCCATTTGTTTGTTGTTTCAACAAATAATGTCTTCACATAGAGATTACTTAAATAACCAATCAAAAAATTCAAAACCAAAAACTGCTGAGCATCTAAAATTAGGCTGCAGTCACTAAACTATATTTATTGAATATTTTTTCATATGAAAGGAGAAATATGCTGATGGTTATTATAGTGTACACAAATACCATTAATCACACAGCCTTAAGACCACAATCACTAGCCTATACTATACAATATATGGCACCTTATACTGTACTGCTGCCGTTAATACCGGCTTCTGCTTTAATCTTAACCTTTTGCACATCCTCATATTTGCACAACCGTGGCATCTGCCTCCGGCACACAATATCCAGAGACATAATATTTGCCTCAGTACAGAATGCTAATATTCTGAATTGCCTTGGTCGAATCATTACAGACCAAACACCTTTGTGTCTGTTTAGCTCTGCATATTTTATTTTTGAAGTACTTCATATATACATGTAAATGTACTGTACATTATATAAAAGTTATAGGTCTATGTGTGTGTGTGTGTGTGTGTGTGTGTGTGTGTATAAGCTATATATATAGACTAACTGAACCGAAAAACCGCGATGCATCAAGAGAGTACCGCGGTACGTACACAGTACTCTCTTGGCCTCCCCCGCCATAAGCTATATATATAGACTAACTGAACCGAAAAACCGCGATGCATCAACAGAGTACCGCGGTACGTACACAGTACTCTCTTGGCCTCCCCCGCCCACATTAAACGCCCACATTAAACGCGTACGGCCATGATGGTTTTGAATTGCTTGAATCAGGAAGGAGGGTACCATTAAGGGAAACATGTGCAGAACAAATATGTCATCTACCGTAAGCTACATAAAATTATAATGAGAACACGACTGTAAAAGAATATGCCATGTTTCAGCGCGTTGTTATGGAAAGAATGCGTCCACATAGTTATATCTTCATGAATATAGCAGTCAAATTCTCTTGTGCAGCCACTCACAGCCTTTTGTGGAACTGTAAGTTGCAATATTATATGTATATCGTGTATACATTATTTATCTCGTGCATTTGGTTGAGCTGCGCTGCAGTAATAAAATACGGCGATTATCTCTTAAACGGGCAGCGCGAGCAGCACAAACAACAATGCAGAATATTAATAAATATGACTGGGATTGTCATATACATAACATTATAATGAGAACACTATTATAATAAACGATGTGATTTTTTTATAGTTTAGTTGCCGTTTTTCGTTGCGGGATTGCGTGCATTGTGCGTAATTCTACACATTCCGGGAAATTCGCGCAAACATGTATGCACTATAGCATGCAGGTTGAATCCAAACAGATTATCAGAGCAGATCAGTCATTTTAAAACTTTCTGTGAGACGGAATTTCACAAACAGTGCGTTTCACAAACGCGCAAATGGCCTCACATTCATAATATCCATGTTGAGTTGCTCTGCAAGCGAGCTGCGCGCTACACTGGCGCGCGTTTCGGACAGTTGACGGAACTGTCACTTGCACATAATTTTAATTCATGCCAATTTAAACATTCATGCTATTTTAACCCATAAAGTATACTTGCGCACTCTCTGAGAGACGGTCCTCAATGCGCTCTCAGCCAAAGCGCGCACAGCCGCCTCTCAAACGGCTCGCGACTAGTGTCAGATTGAGTTATTGCATATTTGATTAAAATAATTTGTATTGTCCGGCTATTCAGTTTTATTTATCCATGACACATGCATTTTTATATGTAGCCAAAGTAATGTTGTCCAATTACTTGTTTGCATTATTTAGGCATTATTATTATTATTTTGCGCGCACAGCCCCCTCTCAAACGGCTCGCGACTAGTGTCAGATTGAGTTATTGCATATTTGATTAAAATAATTTTTATTGTCCGGCTATTCAGTTTTATTTATCCATGACACATGCATTTTTATATGTAGCCAAAGTAATGTTGTCCAATTACTTGTTTGCATTATTTAGGCATTATTATTATTATTTTTTAAAGACAAAAATATATATCTGAGAGAGAGAGACCCTCTAGAGTACAGAATATAATAAATCTGTACAATGACAAAAAAAAGAGCTTGAGGGAAAATCATAACATCTACATTCAATTTTAATATTTAAATTATGGCAATATCAGTATGCATTATATAAATATATATTTATACGCCACCTGAACTGGTTCTAAAAGGAAGGCAAGCACAGAAAGCAAGGGAGAGGGTGATTGCCATTGTATACAATCAAGTCAAAAGCAAAAGTCAACAGCATTTGGTTTGGCAATACAATTTTCTTTTCATTTCTGTAAAGAAAGGAAATACTATTATGTTAAACGGTCAGATCATTTAAAAAATATATATTTTCATTACTGTTCAATTATGATCCACCTGTCCATGAGTCACACTAAATGCCTTTTTAATTTCTATTAATAAAATACAATGAGATCATTTCAATAATGCATTGAACTCACTAATATCACATCCATGATTCACACAAATGACAATATCAAAACCACCTTTGCAACTAACCTGTCTGAACGTACCAATAATAAAATCACAGTGAATAAAACAAGTATTAATTATCACATATCCATTACACAGTTAGTTGTGAGCAGACTGAATCACTCCTGGCTGTGAATGTAAACGTACAGCAGAGCAGGTGTTCAGAGTTCAAGAAACATACCCTTTGCATGATCCGTGTAACGCAGAAATCTAGAGTGTGCACTCCAGGGCAAGACCTTTATCCTAAATAAGCTATTGAAAGAACACGGCGCATACACATACAGCAATGACAAACAAAGCTGACATTACATGTTGCCATGGTATCCACGTGAGACCACTAAGCATTGGTCAAGTCAGACTCCCTCTCTAAGCTCTAAGTCTCTAGTTATTCAGTGTTGGATGAAGGTTGCTTTTTGATTTTTTTTTTCCTCCGGGCATGAGGGAAAAACACTTTAAGGGAACAGAATTGGTGTCCAATAACAAAATTCAACTCTTCTTCTTCTTCTATTTGTATCATACTGTGTATAAACTATGTTTCTTTTATCTTAATGTATAAAATAGCATATTTATTGTTACAAATAGCTGATTTAATTTAAATTTAATTTTAATAATTATGAATTTCAAGTCAAAAACCTTTGTGTAATCAATTAATATTTAAATTTTCTAATTTAGCAGATGATTTACAAATGAGAATATAATAATAATAATGTTACACAAATGTCTGTTTCAAATCAATTTTGTTTCTTGAGCAGTAAATCATCTGAGAGAGAGAGACCCTCTAGAGTACAGAATATAATAAACCTGTACAATGACAAAAAAAAAGAGCTTGAGGGAAAATCATAACATCTTCATTCAATTTTAATATTTAAATTATGGCAATATCAGTATGCATTATATAAATATATATTTATACGCCACCTGAACTGGTTCTAAAAGGAAGGCAAGCACAGAAAGCAAGGGAGAGGGTGATTGCCATTGTATACAATCAAGTCAAAAGCAAAAGTCAACAGCATTTGGTTTGGCAATACAATTTTCTTTTCATTTCTGTAAAGAAAGGAAATACTATTATGTTAAACGGTCAGATCATTTAAAAAATATATATTTTCATTACTGTTCAATTATGATCCACCTGTCCATGAGTCACACTAAATGCCTTTTTAATTTCTATTAATAAAATACAATGAGATCATTTCAATAATGCATTGAACTCACTAATATCACATCCATGATTCACACAAATGACAATATCAAAACCACCTTTGCAACTAACCTGTCTGAACGTACCAATAATAAAATCACAGTGAATAAAACAAGTATTAATTATCACATATCCATTACACAGTTAGTTGTGAGCAGACTGAATCACTCCTGGCTGTGAATGTAAACGTACAGCAGAGCAGGTGTTCAGAGTTCAAGAAACATACCCTTTGCATGATCCGTGTAACGCAGAAATCTAGAGTGTGCACTCCAGGGCAAGACCTTTATCCTAAATAAGCTATTGAAAGAACACGGCGCATACACATACAGCAATGACAAACAAAGCTGACATTACATGTTGCCATGGTATCCACGTGAGACCACTAAGCATTGGTCAAGTCAGACTCCCTCTCTAAGCTCCAAGTCTCTAGTTATTCAGTGTTGGATGAAGGTTGCTTTTTGATTTTTTTTTTCCTCCGGGCATGAGGGAAAAACACTTTAAGGGAACAGAATTGGTGTCCAATAACAAAATTCAACTCTTCTTCTTCTTCTATTTGTATCATACTGTGTATAAACTATGTTTCTTTTATCTTAATGTATAAAATAGCATATTTATTGTTACAAATAGCTGATTTAATTTAAATTTAATTTTAATAATTATGAATTTCAAGTCAAAAACCTTTGTGTAATCAATTAATATTTAAATTTTCTAATTTAGCAGATGATTTACAAATGAGAATATAATAATAATAATGTTACACAAATGTCTGTTTCAAATCAATTTTGTTTCTTGAGCAGTAAATCAGCATATTAGAGTGCTTTTTGAAGGATCATGCGACACCGAAGACTGGAGTAATGATATTGAAAATCCAGCTTTGATCACAGGAATAAATTACATTTTAAAATAGAAAACAGTTATTTAAAATTGCAATATTCTGTTTTATTAGACTGTTGATCAAATTAAATAACATCTGGCAACCTGTTGTGTTTAATCGATAACATTTCTAAAATAAGTTCCCATCTAAAAACACAATTTTAAAGGGACAGTTCACTCAAAAATGAAAATCAACTGAAACACATTTGAGAAATAAAAGAGTGAATAATGACTTAAATTTCAAATCGTTCATCACTCAAAGCTATTGTATGGCATCAGAAGATTTACTGTTGTTAAAATTTGCTATTTATAGACATTTATATCGTTGCACAAATTAGCATTTCATATGTACACATTCTTTATTGTTATGAAA